AAAAACAGGAGCATGGTATGAGCTTGTTTTGGCTGGTGGAGCATGAAAAGTTTGGGACGAGGTGCCAGGGTAATGGTGGTAAGGGGTAAAGCCTGGTGCATGTTGACGGGAAATATCAACGGTAGTAGGAACCTAGGCTTGTGACAATGGTTGGTCGGAGGCAGGATTTTCAGTGTAGTTAGCGGGGAATGAAGGTGGAGGATGCCCCCTGATCCATGCTTGATACATTTCTTCCATCTGATGTTTCAACCCGTGTACCTCCACTTTCAATCCAGACTCAAATTCCACAATCTCCCTCGGTGGGTCAACAACACTTGTGTCCGATTCTTTGCTAGCCATGATTGCCTTGCGCTTTGACCTATTGTTATATGGATGACTTGCCAGAATGACAACAAATTAACCACCTTCTTGAAATCATAGCACACCCAAAAACCTTGTTAGTTTCGAGAGTTTAACAGATAGCAAAACGCACGTTTGGGATACAATGCACCTAAATAGTTAAACGTTTCTACCATGTGTTTGAATGGTCGCATGTTTCATCCCGGCCTTAACTAACCCATTTTTCACTCTATTCCTCTTTTCTCTCATTTTCGCCTCCCCTTAATCACACTTGATTTTCTCGTTTCTGTCGCTCTTTTATTTTTGGCACTCTCTCTCATTTTTCCCTTTATTCTTTGTCACTCTTTATTTTCTTTTCATTTTTTTTAAATTTATGGCTATGATCGAATCCTATAATGATTGCCTACATATCATGACGCGCATGAATTAGATCATTACGTAGTTCAGGGATATGAATGCGAAATGAAAGAAAAGAATTTTTTTGGGATTTTCAATATTTCATTAATAAAAGACATCTTTTTGGATTTTTCTATTACAAAGACTCGGAAATATTGATAGCTAAAAGAAACATAAAAAGACTCAAAAAGAAAAAGTAAGAACAAAATCAAAAACCAAAAATCATGAATACATAAGAGCCTCCAATGCTACTCCGGGGGACCGCAGGATATCAGTCGGTCTCGACGGGGGCGTGCGCACAATCTCTTCCTGAAGGTGCTCTAAATCAGCCATCACCTAGCGGATAAATGTCATCGCCGAAGCAAAGAAAATGGATTTGGTCATATCTTCACATTCATGGCACTTCATTGCAACATAATTAGCTATTTCTTTGATCCTCATTCGAATGGCACCCTTTTCCTGAAGCAAGCGTCCGATTTGTTGTGCACGGGCATCCAACACCTGCGTGGTTGTACCATTTGGTCTTGCAGCTTCTGCATGCTCTCTTCTAATTGATAAATCAAAGCATAACAGTGTTCTTCCTTAGTTTTGAAGTCTTTTGTTTACTGAACCATTTCATTTTCGAGGGTAGTCAGCTTTTCTTTTAAGAATGTGACTCCTCTATCGTACTTTTGCTTCAACTGCAGAGCAAACCTTGTCCGTTCTTCCGCACCTTTTGCCAAGTGTGCTCGAGCCTTATCCAAGTCTCCCTCGTCCTTTGTCAAATCAGCCCCAAAATCATGCACTTTCCGCCTCAGATTGCTTATGAATCTTTCATCTTTTTCGCTTCTTACCGGGGTCTCACTGGCTATTTTTATTTGGTGGATCTGAGTTCGGAGGGCTTTGTTTTCCCGAGCCAGCCTCTTCTTTTCTCCTTCATCCACGGCTGCCTGCAAACAACTATCAAATTTGATGCTTCTGACTTGATCTTCTAGTTTGCCTATGATGGTCTGATATTCATTCTCTTTGGCTAACCAAGCCCACTGCTCCCGCGATGCATCGACAAACTCTTAGATATGGGCCCTTTTAGTCGGCCTTTCAGACTCATCATTTGTTGCGACTCTCTTTCTATACCAATAAACATAACCATGTAAGACCTCGCCCCTGGACAAATCACGTACTCGGGTGTTTGCTCCCAAATACTGGCATTCGCTCCAAATTTCGTGAACCGCATCTTTAGGAAATTGGGCATCGGAGTGGATTTCAATCACGTGAGTACTAAGATCTTCATCTATGGGAATTGTCTGGGATCTTCCAAGTTGTCTCAAAACCCGGTATGGGGCACAGGGATGGATGCTTCGTAGGACCATTAGGAGGAAGTAGGGACCAGTGGCAGGCATATAAACAATCTCATCTACAGGAAGCCATGTCCATTCTATCTGATCTGTGGTTATGGAATGAAGGCGGGTGATCCAACCTTTGACCCCTTCTGGCATTTCAAATTCAGTCACTCGTGTACCAAACTCCTCGATGCAGTTTTTCCCCGTAGAACCGTAATTCATGTATTAGGGACGCTGACAAAGGTGATCGATCATCCACATTTGCAACAACGAATTACACCCCTCGAAAAACCTGACTCCGACCTTACATGATGTGAGGGCTCAGAATATATCTGATACGATCCTGAGCGCGAGGGTACTCTTAGCTTGAGTAGTCAAAACATGGACAACTCCGGCCACACACAAATCAATGTGCCCGTCCTCTCTTGGAAACACCAAAATGCCTAAGAATACCGCCATGAAAGCAAAGCATCTATGCGTTTCCAACTTTGACTGGTTTTCTTTACTGTAGAGTCCATTTTCTGGGTCTTGGAATCCCCTTAGTGCCCGTATCGTTGGTATAGAAAGTGAAAAGTGGAAGTTCCATCAGCTAGGCTTTCAGTCTTGATTTGTATGTTTATTTTCAGTAAGTTTAGAAAATTGTGGGGAGTAACAGTCCTTAGAGATACGAGGTACTTATGTCTTATTCCCTCTGTACTCACGGCATAACCCGCCATTTCTTCTAAAGTAGGTGTAAGCTCGAAATCTGAGCAATGTAGAACATTGTGAGCGGGATCCCAAAATGACACCAAGGCCTCTATCAGATCACTTCTAGGTTGAATTTTTAACAGTTCACTGAGTGGCCCCAGGTATTGATTGACCCTGTCTCGTCCTTGTTTCCCAAATCCTCCCACCACATATAGAGTGCTAGTGGAATTTGATCCATAACTGTCAACGGTAAATTTTGAACAGTGCTTATTCTGCACATTTTTAAATTAGAGTGACCGTGTTAAAACATGTGAATTTTGTTTAGAAACTAACCAGAAAGGTTATTTTTTGCAAAATCCAACTCAAATCCTGGCTACTTTTGCAAATACGGCCCTTCAGCACTTCGGGAGGGAAGATTTTAGGGTTGTGTTTGCTAAGTGGCCAAAAATTAGAAAAAGGACCATAGGCCGCTATTCTTGAAAAAACAGCCTTCCAGCATCCCGTCGGGACGTTTTTGGCTATTTGGACAAAAACGACATCACCTAACTTTATTTACGACAAAATGACAACATTTTCATATTTTTGGTTATTTTTGCAAAAGCGGGGCTGGACCCGATGAAGGTTGCCTACGTATCTCACATCTGGTGAGAATCAAACCCGCGTAGTTCGGTAAATTTTGACGCAACATGAAAAAATAAATTATTTTATAAATGACTTTTTTTTTAAAAATTTTGGCAGAGTTTCGGAATATTTTGAATACCGGGATTTACTGAACCGGGTGATTTTCTCTCCTACCTCACTCTTTATTTTTTTTGATTTTCTTTCCCTATTCTAGAAGCCGGTTAACACGCAAGACAAAATAAATAAATGCACAAGTAACACGTAAAATGCATCAGGATGATATTTTAAATCGGGTGCACATGTCCTAGATGGACCCAACCCCTATGTTGAGTCCCTAAATTCAAATGCACGTGATGAAAATAAACGTACCTACTAGGGATCCGACATGAGGCTAAGTCATTCTAAGTTTGAAAATCTGGGTGTATTGTACTAGACCCGGCTTACCCGAGCGGACAACTCGAGCCAGGCGGGGGGGGGGGGGGGGGGGTATACTAGGTAACCAAAAAGGCATCCGACTTTGTAACTGATTCGATCCTCGTTCTAAATTAGGGTAAGACACTAAAAGAAAAGAAGTCACGCCAGCGTGCACTTCCTAGAAGATATAGAAGACTCAGAGAGAGAAGAAGGGTTTCGTAACAGTTTTATGTACAGTTCAAACAATATCAAAGCGGTAAAAATTAGATAATAAACAAAATCCAACTATAACAATTATTCTAAGCTCGAATTCTAAACCCTGAACTAGAGATTCTGGGTTTGATTCCCAGCAAAGTAGCCAGAGCTGTCACACCTCCTTTTTCCCGAGGGATAGGGAGTTTTTTCAATTAAAGTGAAGTTATCGAAATGGGAATATTTAATTTATCAGAGTCGCCACTTGGGGTAATTATTAGGGTGTCCCAAGTAACCGGTTTATTTTAAATTCCAAATTGAGCAAGTTTTGACTATGTTTTAAAGTCCGCGAAACCAAAAGACTGGATAAGGATTTCTGTTAACCCGGAAGAAGGGTTTAGACATTCCCGGGTTCCGTGGTTTTACCACGGGCGCTCAACTTTTAATAATTGACCTAATTACCTAATTTATTAGATATTTAAACCTATTGTGCATTTTTATCTTCTAACCGTTTTTTAGAATTTTAATTGCTTTTAGGGCTTATGGAATTTATTTGAACGAGTCACGATGTCGCGCACTCGTTGTTTTATACACATTGTGAATTGTGTCACATGAACCGCACCCAGACTCACCAAATGTTTATTATTACTAATATTTGAAGTGATGATCGAGTCACATGAAATGTGCACCTGAATTTCGGGAATTATGTATCACAACTACGTCACGGGAACCATATCCATAGTTGTGATGATTTAATTACTCGCCTAAAGCAAACTATGATGTTCGAATATTATTCATTCTCTATGTTTGAGATTAACAGTAAAGTTCATGAGTTATGTAAAAGAGTTGTTGAGGTAAAGGCTTACTCATTCTATTCTGCCAAGGAACTTTATATGTCGAGAGGGGTTTCAGCGTTTAGATTGATATTGGACAATCATGAATGAAGCATATATTGTGAACCTACTTGTTCGAACCAAACACTTCAACGAATTGAAAAGAAGCATATTGATTAAACTATTACTATCACAAGAAATGGAAATGAACATAATAGTCGTTAGCGCCTATGCGCCTCATGCGGGCCTAGATGAGGAGGCTAAATGTCGCTTTTGGGAGGAGTTAGATGAGATTATGCGTCAGGTACCACCTGTTGAGAAGTTATTCATAGGAGGGGATTTCGATGGTCATATTGGGTCGACCACAGGTGGGTATGACGAAGTGCATGGAGGCTTCAATTTTGGGGAGAGGAACGGAGGAGGAACCTCATTTCTGGACTTCACTAAGGCTTTTGGGTTGGTGATTGTAAACTCTAGCTTTCCGAAGAGGGAGGAGCATTTGGTTACTTTTCAAATTGCGGTGGCGAAGACTCAGATTGACTTCTCCTCCTTAGGAGGCGTGATAGAGGGTTCTGAAAGGATAGCAAGGTGATTCCAGGTGAGATACTCGTGACGCAACATAGGCTCTTGGTGATGGACGTTGGTATTATGGTGAAGAGGAGGAAAATGTCTGTTCGAGGAAGATCGAGAATCAGGTGGGGAGCCTTAACTAAGGATAAAGCCAAGAGTTGGAGGGGCGGTTGTCGGCTATGGGAGCTTGGAGGAGCAGTGGTGACGCGAGCACTATGTGGTCAACGACAGCAGACTGTATAAGGGAGGCTGCAAGAGAGGTGTTAGGGGTCTCGACGGGTGTCTCTGGCAGACACAAAGGAGACTGGTGGTGGAATAAAGTGGTACAAGGTAAAGTGTAAGCGAAGAAGGAGGCATACCGGACGTTAGTGGGGAGCATAGGTGAGGAGGAGAGGGGAGCGTGCATGGAGAAGTATAAGGTAGCTAGGAAGGAAGCGAAGTTAGCGGTCACTTAGGCTAAAACTGCGGCTTACGGTCGTATGTACGAGGAACTAGGGGAAAAAGGCGGGGAGAAGAAGTTATTTAGGCTGGCCAAGCTGAGAGAGAGGAAAGCTTGAGATTTAGACCAAGTGAGATGCATCAAGGACGACGATGGTAGAGTATTGATGGAAGATTCCCAGATTAAGAGGAGATGGAAGAATTACTTTCAAAAACTTCTTAATGAAGTAAGGGATCGGGATATTGTGCTAGGTGAATTGGAGCACTTCGAGAGTCACGGTGACTCTGGGTACTGCAGGCACATTTAGTTTGAGGAGGTCGTGAGATCTATGAGTAAGATGAGTAGGGGGAGAGCGACCGGGCCTGACGAGATCCCGGTAGAATTTTGGAAGTGTGTGGGGAAAGCAGGTTTAGAGTGGTTGACTAGGTTGTTGAATGTTATTTTTAAGGCAAAGAGGATGCCGGATGAGCGGAGGTGGAGTACGGTGGTCCCATTGTATAAGAACAAGGGTGATATCCAGAGTTGTAGCAATAATAGGGGTATCAAATTACTGATTCATACTATAAAAGTGTGGGAGAGGGTGGTTGAAGCGAGGTTGAGGATGATGGTGCCCGTTTCCGACAACTAGTTTGGGTTCATGCCGGGTCATTCTACTATAGAAGCTTTTCACCTTGTTAGGAGGTTGGTTGAACAGTATAGAGATAGGAAGAAAGACCTACACATGGTGTTTATTTACCTAGAGAAAGCGTATGACTAGGTTCTTAGAGAGGATCTCTGGAGAAGCTTAAAGGCAAAAGGCGTGTCGGTTCCCTACATTATGGCGATTAAGTACATGTATGATGGGGCAAAGACTCGGTTAGGACAGTAGGAGGCGACTATGAGTATTTTCCGGTTGTTATGGGGTTACACCAAGGCTCTGCGCTTAGCCTGTTCTTATTCGCCCTGGTGATGGACTCTTTAACATACAACATTCAAGGAGATGCGCCATGGTGCATGCTATTCGCCAATGAAATAGTTCTGATCAATGAGTCGCGAGCCGGTGTTAACGAGAGGCTGGAGGTTTGAGACAGGCTCTTGAATCTAAGGGTTTCAAGCTTAGCAGGACGAAGAAGGAATACCTGCAGTGTAAGTTCAGCGCTGAGCAGGGGGAAGTGGACGTGGATGTGAGGCTTGAATCAAAGGTCATCCTGAGTAAAGGCAGCTTCAGGTACATTGGGTCGGTTATCCAAGGGGTAGAGGAGATCGATGAGGATGTCACACACCGTATTGGAGTAGGATGGATGAAGTGGAGGTTAGTATCTGGAGTATTGTGTGACAAGAGAGTGTCACTGATAGTCATAGGTAAGTTCTATAAAGCGGTGGTTAGACCGACCATAATGTATGGGGCTGAGTGTTGGCCAGCTAAGAAGTCACATATCTGTTACACCCCGCAATATTACGCCCCGCAATATTTTACGTTGAATTTGTCGTAAGGTAATTGACATCAATCCAAGGAAAATATTATTTGGGGATAATAAGGATTATGCTATTTCACAAGTGATTAGTAAATTCATGAAGGTGAAAGGGGAGCAAGTATAAGAAAACGAATTTGGTCAAAGTTTGGCATTTTGGGATATAATACATCCCGAGCTAAAATACCCAGTATTTATGGACTAGTGCCATATAAAGTACTACATGGCCATGATAGTAAGGTATACAAGGTATGTTAAATGAGAGTAGTATATAATTAAGTTGAGACAATTTTTATATTATACGGATAATTAATTAATTATCGGGTAACAGGACATTACCCAGTTAACTAATAAGTGGGTAAGATTTATAATCTTCACCCACCATTTCACGTGGCATAAAGCCACAATAGGCAAAAGATGACTATCAAAGTCACCTTTCCAGATGGCTTTTATACCATGAATCAAGTCTTACAAGACTTTGGATAAGATGAGAATTATTTTTTTGTAAAGGGAAAAACCAATCTGCCTTTGACTAACCAAGAACGTAAGTGGAGGCATTTCATTCCAATTGAAATTGCATCTTGGGAGTTCTTTAAAGCCCAACACAAATCTGCCAAGAACGATTAAAGCAGAAGCATTTTCATTTCGAAACAAAGCAAGGTTTCAATTTCAGAAGCAGAAAACGTTCCATTTCAAAACCAACAACAATTTCTACATTCTGTTATGAAACAACGTGAAAAGCAGAAGCAATTTCAAGCTCAAATCTAACGTCCAAGCCTCACCCCAAATCAGATCAAATTCATTCCAAAATTTTAGGAACCAAAAACAAATTTCATCCATGAATCCTTAAGAAGCAGGGGCAAGTTTAGCTCAGTCAATGAAGATTTTCCAACGGAGTATTATACGGAGTTTTCCCTATTCTAGGTATGTTAAGGCACTTCCTTCTTTCTCTTGGCATGATCTAATGTGAAATGAATACGTTATTTCATAATGAATCTACTCCTAGCAACTAAGGTTGTCCATGTTGTTCTTTCCGTACAAAGTTATTCTAAGAAAGTATGTATGATCCAAGTCCTAGTGAAGTTCATATTGAGGGTATATATGTCCATAATGTTCTTACGTCACTCCGAAAGGTTTAGAACGTGATCCCATGAGTCGAGCATGCATTATATATATATGTATCTATTTTACTCTACCGAGCCGCGCTATAGACGACCGGGTATGGCACCTATTGTGCAACCACTGATCAGTTGGGTTTACCGAGCTCCACGTGGCCGGGTATGATTCTACCGAGCCTTATGATGGCCGGGTACGTTTTTACCGAGTCCTCTTTGAGGCCGGGTACGATATGATGATGATGATGCCCACAGAGGCGAATGTTTTTACACGTTTATGTATATATATGTATTATGCATTTCATGTCAGTAGTTCCCAGTGGCACTCAGATGTTACAGGTTGTAGCTCCTCTATCTCTCTTTACATTATTATTCTTGTTTATGCTTTCCTACCTTACATACTCGGTACTTTATTTGTACTGACGTCCCTTTTGCTTGGGGACGCTGCGTTTCATGCCCGCAGGTCCCGATTGATAGGTTGACAGTCCTCCTATTAGGCTATCAGCTCAGCGAAGGTGTTGGTGCGCTCCATTTGCTTCGGAGTTGCTTGTTTGGTTAGTATGATTTAGACGTGTATTGTTTGGTATGGCGGGACTCTATCTCGACCTTTATGACATTTATGTATTCTTAGAGGCTTGTAGACATATGTCGTATACGTGAAAGATTGTACGGCCTTGTCGGCCTATGTTTGAGTTTATAAATGATTATGTTGGCCTACTAGGCCTGTATGTCACGTGTATATAATGATGTAATAAGAAAGATACGTTACGTTGGTACTCGGTTGAGTAAGGTACCGGGTGCCCTTCGCGGCCCATCGGTTTGGGTCGTGACAATATCTAGGAGATGAAGGTAGTAGAAATGAGGATGTTGAGGTGGATGTGCGGGCATACTAGGATGGATAAGATTAGGAATAATGATATTCGGGAGAAGGTGTGCGTGGCTCCCATTGATGAAAAGATGTGGGAAGCGAGTCTTAGATGGTTCGGGCATGTTCGGAGGAGAAGCCCAGATGCTCCGGTAAGGAGGTGCGAACGGCTGGTTCTGGAGGGCACGAGAGGGCAGCCTAAGAAGTATTGGGGGGAGGTGATTAGGCAGGATATGGCGAGGCTTCAGATTTCCGAGGACATGGCACTTGATAGGAACATGTGGAGGTCGAGTATTAGGGTTGTAGGTTAGGAGGTAGTTATGTCTTGCCTTATGTCATAACTTTGTGAGACTAGTTTGGTAGGGATACTATTTGGCTTTTGCTTTGCATCTCTCTTCTGGATTTCATGTTGTTCCTATTTTTCCTATTATTTCTGTGGTGTTACTGATATTGTCTCCTTTTGTCTTTTTGTCCTCTTGAGTCGAGGGTCTTTCGGAACAGCCTCTCTACTCCTTCGGGCTAGGGGTAAGGTCTGCGTACACACTACCCTCCCCAAACCCCATTAGTGAAATTTCACTGGGTCGTTGTTGTTGTTTGTTGTAGTCAATCATCATTCTAGTGGGTCCAGTCTTAAAGCATTGGGTTTAATATCTTGCAACCTAATCTTGTTTGAATATTAACAATGAAGCTAAGTAAATGAGAACATAGGTGAATTTTCCAACTTTCAGGAAATACGTAAAACAAGAGTTAACAGATTACATTGCAGCGAAAATCTAGCACGAATTTATACAATTACTGAGTAAAGGAAAAGAAACAAACAAAAAATCTCAGTCATTCCATTGCATCATGTCTTCACGAAAACAACCTTTTTCTGGACCATATGCTTCTTTTCCTTTCACTCCTGATTTACAAAGAATAGCCATTGCGCTAATCTTGTGTCACGACCCGGAATTTCCACCATCGGGACCGTGATGGCGCCTAACATCATACTCGCTAGGCAAGCCAACGTTAGAGTTTTATTCACCTTTTTCCTTTACATTTCATAGATTAAAAATTAACAAAAATAAATCCAACTTAAATAAATGCGGAAATACATAATTAACCGGTTATCTATATACTATTAACAATACCGAAACTGTTACCACCCAGAAA